ATCACATATTGTGGTTTTCCTCATTACTAGTGTCATGAAAACATCATGATTTTCATTTATTAGTGCCACATTCTATTGCTGGTAAAATTTTATTTAAAAATTTTGAACTTTTAAAATCACATTAATCAACTGGTACTCTCTTGTAGCAAACTGAATAATATTTATCAGTTTTGAATTCCACGTTTCCGAGAATCATGCATGAACCAAAGCAATAAAAAATATGATATTATCAATTCATTCTCAGATTACCTTTTGCTCTGCCATTTTACTTATCATAAATACAGTTTATTAATCAATATTATTCATTATTATCATTTATTGTTATTATGGCAATAATAATGGTATCATTCAGCGAATTATTATTCCTAACACCATTACTATTATTATTATTAATATTATTATTACATTGTTTTTGTTATTATTATTATTATTATTGTCTTTGCTACATTTTATTGTTGCTACTATTGACAGAAATTTTATTTCTACTTACAAAACATGAATTGGTTTTGCTTCACACTTTTGCTCTAACTCACTTAACTGCAAATTATTATTTATTTAATTCTCAATGCTTCGCCGATTTGTAAGATAAGACATTGTTAACTTATTGCAATAAGTTGTTATCGCTGTATTATATTAATATAATTTTGATATTTTGTCCAGTTGCCTCCCCATTCAACGGTTCTCAATAAGTACTACTCAGTAGCAATAATATTTCCAAATGGTTTCATCTTTATGCTAAATATTTTGTAATGTAGCATTAAATGCATTGCAAGCAAGAAATTTGGGATATTCATATAGAAATTGAAATAATATTGAGCAACTGACGAAGACCGAGTAGACTACAACTTACTGAAACTTAAACAATTTGAAATAGTCGAAGATCTATCTTTTGCCCTGAAAAAAGTACAAATAAATAATTGTTGGAGTAGTACTATGAAGTGGAACCATCGTTGTTTGGCACAGAAGAAGGACTGCTCTCAAAGATTCGACTATCATATCATATCCATCACAATTTGCAAGTACTTTAACTGATTGCAACTGAAAAGAGGGCAACAAATGTTCAATATCTCATTTTCTTTCTCCTCGACTTCCGCTTCTTATCTGATGATCATATCATTACTGTTCTCAGATCCAGCATAATTTTATTATTGCAGCTGATGGAGCAGAAATCCTTCTCCTCATCAAATGCCATCAGTAATCACAGAGTGACTTGCAACCAAAAAGAGCAGCAATTACTGTTGGAATCGCTATCCCGGACACAATGCATCGTTGAGCAGTCACACACCGCAATCCGAAGTAATTCTAATCAGGTAAACAAATCAATGCATGAACTTTCGGAGACAAACATTTTATTTTATCAAAGGTACAGAAGGTAAAACCTACGGTTCATTAAAGGGAGAGAAGCAGTGCTCATAATGACAGATATTAAATACTTTTAGTTGAATAATTTTCTTACCGAGGGTGATTTGGATGGAATCTTACTATTCTACGATAGCGATGTGGAGCTACTGGAATCTCAAACACCTCTCTGCCGAGGAATTGATGGTAATCGTTTCATATTAATAATTCCGTGATCATACAAACACTGCTGATTTGTAGATGAGCGAGTTTCAAAGACGCACTTGAGCGCTTTAATGCATTTTGTGCTTTAGAGCTAAACGAATCTGACGAATTTGTGTATTAAAAAAGAAAATTTTGATGAAAAATCCAATCCTTTGATATTTATATCATATC